TGTTTATTTTCATATTTTTTGAAGTTTTTTTTCTTCTGAGATATCATTTCTAGTTTATTTTCTCTACATTTTCTTGGAAGTCCAAGAGCGTATGCTGGTTAACGGTGTGCCCGATGTTAACTGTCCTTGTCAGTGAGGAAATGTGGCGATAGAGAGGGACATGGGAGTCACACCACACAGGGACAGAAACACAAACGTGAAGTAAATAAAAACACCTGAAAACCCAGCATTTCTGGAACTCTCCCCCACTCCTGTGCCGATATTCATCCTTCCGCCCCCCCTCCGTTCTGCCCTTCTTTTCTCACACTGTAGGGTCTGCTTTGGAGATCTTATCCACTTTCCTTCTTCCAAAGTCAACTTCTAGCTTTGGTTGAAACCGCAGAACCGTTTACTCATTCAACAAATACACACTGAGAATACCATGGTTTGCAGAAATGAACATGGCCCCTGCTCTCGCGAACTTGTGGTCTGATGGGGAGACTGGGGGGCACTGATGTAACAGTCATTCTAATAGGTTTCTGATTAAGAATTGAGGAACATGCACCAAAGAAAGGAAAGAGGGATCCTATAAATGTATGCTGTAAAGGATTTGATGTATCTTGGGATGAGGGGGAGAAAACAGATGCATTATGGAAGGGATGATTCACTTGCAGTCTGGAGAGAAGCAGAGGTTGATTGTTGAGGGTGCATAGTGTGGGGACACCAGGGTCTAAACAGAGAAGGGGGTGCATGCAGAACGCCTCTTGCAGCAGGAATCAGGCATGTGCAAGGAAGTCAGCAAGGGAGAAAGTGGCACAAGGTGAGAATGAAGGAAAGCAGGTAGGGGCTGGGAGATTATGGTAGGTGCTTTATTCTCTTAATAACAGCAACGGGATGCTGCTGAAAGGTCTTGAGGGAGGTGGGGAAATGGGTATGACATAACTTTGTGTTTGTAAAATTGTCACAGTGTCTTACCAAACTAAATATACTCTTTATATTTTTATTTTACTTTAAATTCTGGTATACATGTGCAGAATGTGCAGGTTTGTTACACAGGTATACATGTGCTGTGGTGGTTTGCTGCACCTATTAACCTGTCATCTAGGTTTTAAGCCCCACATGCATTAGGTGTTTGTCCTAATGCTCTCCTTCCCTTGCCCCCACCCCTCTACAGGGCCCAGTGTGTGATGTTCCCCTCCCTGTGTCCATGTGTTCTCATTGTTCAACTCCCACTTATGAGTGAGAACATGCGGTGTTTGGTTTTGTGTTCCTGCGTTAGTGTGCTGAGGATGATGGTTTCCAGCTTCATCTATGTTCCTGCAAAGGACACGAATTCATTCTTTTTTTATAGCTGCATAGAATTCCATGGTGTATATGTGCCACATTTTCTTTATCCAATCTATCATTGATGGGCACTGGATATACTCTTCACATACGATCCTGCAATTGCACTCTTTGGTATTTATCCAAAGGAGTCGAAAACTTGTGTTCACACAAAAACCTGCACATGGATGTTTATAGCAGCTTTATTCATAATTTCTAAAACTTGGAGGTAACTGAGAAGCCAAGATGTTCTTCAGTAGGTGAGTGAATAATCTGTGGTATGTCCAGACAATGGAATATTAATTAGCTCTGAAAAGAACTGAGCTGTCAAGCCACGAATAGACATGAAGGAACGTTACACACACTACTACAGGAAAGAGGCTCATCAGAAAAGGCTACAGACTGTAGGCTTGCAACTAAAGAACACCCAGAAAAAGGCTAAACTATAGGGGGACAATATCAGTGGTTTCCAGGTGTTCGGAAGAGGGAGAGATGATCAGGTGGAACATGGAGGATTTTTAGGATTTTAGGGAAACTGCTCTGTATGATGCTATCATAGTGAATATATGTCATTACCCATTTGCTCAAACCCATAAAACCAGCACCAAGTGTGAGACCTCATGTAAACTGTGGATTCTGGGTGACAATGATATGTCAACATAGGTTCTTCAATTGTTACAAATGCACCCTCTGGGCAGGAGTGTTGTTACTGGGGGAGGCTGTGCCTGTGGGGGCAGGGAGGGCATATAGAAGGACTTTCTCTACCTTACCCTCAATGTTTCTGTAAACCCAAGTATGTAGTGTGTGTGTGTGTGTGTATATATATTAAAAGACTTTTACAAAAATCAAATGAGAAAATGATCCCACTGGGTGCTTCAGGCCAAAACAGAGGAACAAGGGCTGGATTTACCATCCCACCAAATGGCTTTTTTCTCCCTTCTTGTCAGCCTCGTTTCAGAGTCTAGCCAGTGCAATAAGGCAAGTTGAAATATATAAAACACACCTTTATTAAAAATTAAGATGTAAAACTATCCATATTTGCAAGTGACATGATCACTTATGAGGAAAATCTTCTGAAATCACAAAAAGCCACTAAAACTAATAATAATAAATTACTTACTGATAAGTGAGTTTGGAATGTTTGCAAGATACAAGATCAACACACAAGCAATAACTGTCTTTTTATACACTGGCAAGAAATAATTGGAAATGGAAATTTATGAAGTGATATTATTTATAGCACGTCAGAAAATGAAATACTTAAGACTAAATCTGACAAAAGAGGTATAAGATGTATACACTGAAAAGCAGGCAGTGATGCTGAGAGAAATTAAAGCACTAAATAAATGAAGTGATATACTATGTTCATGGATTGGCAGGCTCAATCTTGTTAAGATGTCAATTCTGCTCTTGTGGATCTACAGATTTAATGAAATGCCAATAAAAATCCAAAGATGATTTTATTTTTCAGTAGAAATGGACAAGCAGATTTTAAAATGTGTCTGGAGATTCAAAGAACCCAAAAGAACTAGGACAACTTGGAAAAAAAAAGTTGGAGGACTTGCTTTAACTATCAAGATAGTGTGGTATTGGTATAATGAGAGAAAACTGGGTTAATGAAACCTTCTAGAGGGTCTAGTAATAATCTCACAAACGTGTTACATATATGCAGTTGACTTTGAATAAAGGTTAACAGACATTGAATTAGAGAAAGGACAGTAATAATGATAGAACAACAAAATACCATTTGCCAAAAAAATAGAAAAGAACTGCTAGATACCTTCACATTGCTGGTGTCACTCGTGGAATTCAATCCACATTTCGCATGTGTCAAAGTTGAAGAGATCTCTTCATTCTTTTTTCCCCATTCACTCCACAGAGACGCTGATGTCCTTCACTGGAATTTGGAAGTTTGCTATTCTTTGTGAACGAATCTTAGATACTATTTATGCAAGAAGTGATGAGACTGTAACTTGCAAATACTGCTCTAAACCTTGAAACCACATCTTCCCCTCTTTCTCCACTTACCGTTTCCCGTCAGTTTTCCATTTCTTCTTTCTCCTTCATGTTTACACTGCATTCCTTTTAGTTCAGGTTCTTCTTACCCCAGCTGATCTCTTGATGTGGTCACCTGAAAGTCCTTCCTGTCCCAGCCTCCTAGAATCTTTCCTTTGTGACCCTGCAGAACTGCCCTCCAGACCCGCAGGTCTGACCTTGGAATCAAGGATCTCAAAGCTGAATGGGATGTGAGGGATTCAGAGTTCAAAATATTTGCACTGCTGGCAGAATCACCTGAATCACTCAATATGATGTTCCCTTCTCCGGTGGTATTTTCCTGTCTCCATCTCCCTACTTCTGGTCAGCCATTTCTCACTCATGACACCTAATCCTTCATTCACATCACATTATTGTTTTGCTCTACACACACTAATTTGTTTTCCGAGTGTTTTTTTTTTTTTTTTTTTTTTTGTTACATTGCTCCCTCTGCTGGAAATACCATTTTCCAAGATCTGACTATAGAATTTGCACACATTCCTCAGAATGACTCAAATATCACATATTCTACCAAATGGCTGCAGATTCTGTCACCACCTCTTCCATCCTATGGCAACCTGGAGAGTGTTCTCCTCTCAGCCGATAGCATTTATTGTGGTCCTTTCTGATCTCAACAATATTTAGGATGGAGAACTGTGAAGCAGATTTTCCTCCCGGGGTGAGAATTGTCTTAGTTTAGCAAATCTCCTTGGATCTCCATTCTGGTTGCAGAACAGCAGCCCATAGGGCATGGTGGGGAGAGACAAGAAAGGAAACCAGGCTGTGTTGCATGGAGGCAGACAGGTGCTCACTCCAGTGTTGGGAGTTGAGCCCACTAGGGAGGAGAAGCCATAAAGATAAAGGCGAAGCATAAAAAGTGATGCATAGTAACAAGACCGTCTGAGGAGAAGAGGCAATCAGCAACCTTCTCCAGGGTGGGATGGGTGATGAACCTTTAAGAACAAGGGTGTCTATTCCCTTCTTTATGATGCTCTACCATGATTTAATGAGCCCGCCCAGTGTACTGTATTTAGTATTTGGCATGAGTAGATTGAGGGGATTTCTAGTAATCAGATCTGGCTGTTATCATCAGGTTAATGTAGAATAGGAAGAAGGAAGAATCCCAAGAGATACCTAGGAAGGGAAATATGTGAAATCAGAAGAAGTTTGGAGTAAGTTTATCCTTCAAACAAAGTCCAGTTTCCAAAGGACATCCTGAGGGCTGCGGGGTCTTCCTCACCTGAAGATGGGGGATTCCAGATGATGTTAATTGAATCTCGCAGGATGGGGTAGAAGCTATTGTAACTCATCTAAAATGGGATGAGTTACAATATCTTCTAACAGGAGGAAGTAAATAAGAGGTTATGTACACTGTCTCTAGTCATCACAATTTTGTCAAGATTGCTATTTTTGCTTCCATGTCATAGGTGGAGAGCCTGATGCTTGTGGAAATGATTTGCTCAGGGTCTCGCTGTCAGAAGTGGCAGAAAAGATTCCAACCTGTTTTGAATGCTGCATACTGAGCTGACTCTCATCCGTGCCATCATACCTACTTTTGGATTTCAATCCTCCTGAAGGCAGGAAACATATTCCATCTGCTTTTATATACTCCATAACACTAGTGAGCAAGCTTTGCTCAACGTAACATTGAATATTTTGCTAAATCTAGGTGAAAAAGAAGTACAGATTTAACACCATCAAAAGTCAATATTCGAGAAAGAGAGACAGATTTAGCATTAGCTGTACCAATCAAATCAATGTTAACATGCACTTATTCTCTGCATGGGAGTAAGACACCAAACACAATTGAAAAAATGAGCCAAGTATAAAAAATGTGTCACAAAGGGATGGATTTAGACAGACAGAAGAGCAGTGAAGTAGGTTATAAAATGCTCAGCATAATCCATTTTAATGAATTATTAGCTGAAACATGCAAAGCGTTTAGGATTTCTGGGAGACGTGTACAAACATACCAAATGTTTGTCTGACATTTTCTTCCCTGCTTCTGTCTTTCTCCAGGGCTGGAGATGCTGTTGACTGATGGCCTTGGGAGGAGAGGTTGCAGCTGAGCCCACACTCTCAAAATCCTCCAGACTGTTTCTACTTTTGTAGACTAATTTTCTGTTAACCCAAAATCCCTCAGACTTACTCAACCAGTACAGCAGTCATTGGCCGGAGTTCAATTTTCTGGTTCGAAGGAATGTGAGTTCTACCTGCCAGTACTGATTGTTAACAGTTATGGCTTCATACGTAGAGGAGGTGTGTCTTTGCTCACTACAGAACAGTGCTGGGGCTTTGAATGGGGTATTTCATTGGTCACCTCCTGGTCACCCTTCTGCTCACCAAGAGCAGACACAGTCCTCAGCCCCTTACAGCTACAAGCACATTTAACTCTCACGTAGCCCTTTCAGATAGACACTGCTATGATGCCCATTTGACAGACATGAGAGGCAAAGGGCATAGAGGTAAACTGTCAGAGATTGCAGAGTTGGCCAGGGAGCTGAGACTTGCACGCGGCCAGCCTGGCTCCAAAGTCCACTACCCTCCTCCTGTATAGCAAGTGTGACCTACAGGAATCCCCACCCAAGCAGGCAGGCGCTGCAGGTAGCTCCACACACTTCATACGATTTAAGCTTGGAGGAAGATTAGTTTTCATTCTGGTTTTCAGTTCAGTTAAAACTCTGTGTTTATCATCACAAGGATGCATGACCCAGAAAGTGAGGTCATGTGCCGTTGCCTTCTGCAGCCATGGTTTTCTACGTTTTGGACCCATTTTCCTGCCTACTTGCCCTGTTGGGATGTGAAGGATATGTGTGTTATTTCTTCTATGAAATGCAGGTGAGCAGGCGGCTGGCAAGGTGGGTGATTGGACAAGGTTTCCTGACAGCTGTGAGCTCAGGGGAGACCCAGGATGGCTCACAGTTGTTTTTCCTGGACAAGCCTCCTCTAGTGTCTAGCGTGGGTCCCTATCGCCAGCGCCAGGTGGTGTCACAGCTTTCAGCACCCGAGAGCGACAGCCAGCCAGGGCAGCTTCTCTCTGTCCAGCTCCCCTCCGCACCCCAGCCCGCTTCTTTAGTGAGAGAATTTCTCTGACTCTTGGGATTCTGCAATCAGAAGAGTGATCATTACAATTTTCATTTTGAGTATTGTGGCCCTGCTGGGCTGCAGTGCAGCAGGCCCTTTCGGGGAGATTGGCAGAGATGCTGATGGCAAGAGCATCAGGATGGAGGGAGCAGGCAGCACTCATGAGAGGCAGCTCTGAGCTGCCCTGGGGAGGGAGCGATGGAAACATGGGTCTGCTCTTCACATGGCTGCAGACCCTCCTGTGTCCTTCGTGGAAACTGTGGAGGTGGCACTGGCACTGGCCCTCAACGGGGTGTGAGCACAGATAGCAAGAGAACATCTGCCCTCCCACCCCCATCTCTCCAGTCGGATCCTCCTTCGAATGAACGCAGCAACCTTCCCCATTCTGCTGATGCTGCAACAAGGGGCTGGAAAAGCACATGCCTGTCTTCTTCAGTCTTATTATTTGTTACCTTTTAGTTTGGGATACTTTGGCTTGAAACTTGGCTGCCCCAGCACAAGAGGTGGGCTGAGGATTTTATTAGCCTTCTAGATTCTCCAGGAGGGCAGCTTGAAAATAAGCTAGGCTTTCTCTTCTCTCTCTGTCTCTTCTTTCTGTCCTGGTTTCTCTCTCTCGTCTCTCTCTGTCCCTCTCTCTTCTCTCTGTCTGTTCCCTTTTCCTTTCTTCCCCACTCTGCCTCCCTTCCTCCTTTGCTATTGCTGCAAAGAATATTCTTGTTGAATTTGCTTCTTTATACCTTCTGCCTTTCCTTAGAATATGTTCCCAAAAGTCTATTCATTGTGAAAAGCAAGCGGCTTTAGATGTTTCCCAGATCTAACAGGCGAGGGCTTTTCACAGACAGGGCTTCGTTTTCGACTTTCATCAAGAAGCCCCCGCTTCCTGCTCCTCATGCTGCAGTCACACTCAGGAGGTCCATGGAGAGCAGAGGCCTTGGGGCTACACTAAGGGGTGTCTTTTTTCCAATGTCCAGAAGATATATTTTTGGGGGGCAGTTGAAGTGGGAAAGTGACATCATCACTCCATGTATGGCATAGGTTGGTCAAGTCCACAGTGTGCACCAGCCCCCAGGATGGTGCTGGGTGGGGGTGAAGGGCTTCAGTTACTGTGGGTGGGTTGGGCTGGGGCTACCTGGCTCTGGGGACAGGTGCATCAGCTCTTGAAGTCCAGGTAGCACCTGTCTCAGGCTGCACAGCACTCCTCACCACGTCCGTTCCTGAAGAAAAGGCCCCAGGAGTCTCTGACGTGAAGAATGCTCTTCTATTTTAAACTCAGCCCCCATTAGGGCTCTGCCCTTGCTATGCTCCAGCCCGCCAACTGTGAAGTCCCCGGGGCCTCTGGCCAGTCACCTGCCGAAGCCTCGCTCTCCAGGATCTCTGTAAAGAGGCACCCTACTCTAATGCGTGCTTTCCGGGAATATTTGCTCTTGAGATGGCTGAGAATAAAAACCCATTTCTAACAGGGTCCTTGCAGGTGGGTGGCCCCAGGGCAGGTAATTTTGGGAAGGTGGGGATGGCCCTGTGCATCCCAACTTTACTTCTGACCCTCCGCAAAAACACTTTTAAGAAGATGAATTGTGGCGGGTAGCCCCAGGTGGAATTTTCTTCTGAGCGTGAAAATCTGTTTGTAGGTTTCCTGTGCTAGTGGGAGCTGTGGTTGCCTTTCACGATCTTGTGGGGACCGGGGCTGCCCTTCTGTGTCCTGGCAGTGTGGGGTCTGTTCTCTAAAACAGATTAATGTCCTTTCATCTCTTTCTGCTTCCACCGCAGTTTTCCAGAAAAGTATGTCATTTTCTCTGCTATCCCTATTAGTCTTTTCAATAAAACGCCTGTGAGTATTCCATAAACGGAATTTAACAGCGTCCAGGGGAATTTCTGCTGTCCAGCCATCTTTTCTCTTTTCTTTAATGAGTGTGTGGTGCGATGGTGTTGGGGTCATGCTTCCTCTTCCCCCAGACTGAGAGGAGCCCTGCTCTGATGCACGTTTGGGACTGGAGCATCCTAGAGTGCTTGGAGTAGGTGGCTGGTCCATCCATCTCAGGAACACTGAACTTTTCTTAAGGGTTTAACATATTTTCTTTTTCGCTAAAAGTTCCTGTGGCATCTAAAACCTGGGTTTGTTTCTGTCAGTCATGCTTTGGAAATTTGCTTAAGGGTTTCATTTGTTTTCTTCCATCTCTCCATAATGAGAACTTCTGTCTGATTTTCCACCATTTCGGCTCTGTCGCTATAGGAGATAAGACTCTCACTCAGGTCAGTCTTAGTGGATTTGAAGCTCAGTATCTGCTTCTGAAGCCGGGAGTTAAGAGTTCCCGAGTCCATCGTTTTCTTTCAACACTTGTCCAGTGAATTTATGGGCAACAAACCAACTTCATTATGTTCCTTGGTTGTCTCCACATATGGTCAAAGGCATCATGTATGTATGAACACATACGGTCAAAGGCATTATGTATGTATGAACACATACGGTCAAAGGCATCATGTATGTATGAACACATACGGTCAAAGGCATCATGTATGTATGAACACATATGGCCAAAGGCATCATGTATATATGAACACATATGGTCAAAGGCATCATGTATGTGTGAACAATACGGTCAAAGGTATCATGTAGGTATGAACACATATGGTCAAAGGCATCATGTATGTATGAACACATATGGTCAAAGGTATCATGTAGGTATGAACACATATGGTCAAAGGCATCATGTATGTATGAACAATACGGTCAAAGGTATCATGTAGGTATGAACACATATGGTCAAAGGCATCATGTAGGTATGAACACATATGGTCAAAGGCATCATGTATGTATGAACACATATGGTCAAAGGCATCATGCATGTATGAACACATATGGTCAAAGGCATCATGTATGTATGAACACATATGGTCAAAGGCATCATGTATGGATGAACACATATGGTCAAAGGCATTATGTATGTATGAACACATATGGTCAAATGCATCATGTATGTATGAACAATATGGTCAAAGGTATCATGTATGTATCAACACACAAAGGCATGTATGTATGAACAATACGGTCAGAGGTATCATGTATGTATGAACACATGGTCAAAGGCATGTATGTATGAACACATATGGTCAAAGGTATCATGTATGTATGAGCAAATTTGAGAAGAATCTTCTCTTTGTTCCTAACTTCTGTTTCTTCATTTTTCCATTTCAAGGTCCGGTGGCATCCCTTCTCTAGCGGCTGGTGAGTTTCCGTGTATCTCAGATCACACTAGATTTTGGGCTTATTTTTCTCCCCATCTTCTTACGTTACTGTAGTCAATTTACAAATGTGACTCAGCATAAACGTTTTCCTTTTTCTGCACTTTAGGATCCCTTCACCAGAATTTTCCTGCAAAAATTTTTCACATGGATTTCCACGGGCTCAGAGTTTTTAAATTTTCTTTATTTCTGTGTTCTTTATGTTATTTTATTTTTATTTACCTTCTATTTTATCTTTCAATTTATGTTCTTTGTTTTATGTAACTCAGGGTCTCTTATCATTTTGTCCCTCCCGCAGCATGCTGACACTTCGCTTCCTGCATGGACCACTGGGCTCCTGGGTGTCTGGAAGGAGTCCACTGAATTTCCATGCAAACCTGGTGTCTGCTGATGGGCCTGGTCTGAGAAGGGTTCCTGGGATGGAGGACAAGGCTTTGGCACCCAGGAGCTCTGAACCCGATGTTAGTAGTTTGGCCAGCTCATCCTGGACATTGGCTAATGTCTCATGCATGGAGTGTGCTGGCCTGAAGGCCAAAGCTGGCCAGGGCAGGAAGTCGGCCCGAAAGGTCGGTGCCAGTTAACGATACAACACATAGCAGAGGCCTGAGGATTCAGCGGGCTTGGCTAAAACCCTCGTTTGGCCTGCTTGCTATTTCTCTTTTATCCTGCTGACCAAGAGCTGTGTGACACCCTTGGACAGCAGTCACATATTTTCTTTTCATGTAAAAATAGTAAGCTGAAATTTCATACAGAAAATGAGAATTATATGTACATTAATCTTTATGCCTACAAGATACTGTGACAAACGAAAAGAGAAACCAAAATAAAATATACATTTTCTGGGAAGGAAAATTTTATGTTTAGTGGGCATGCTGTTAAAATATTTATCATTTACAATCAGTTTTAAGGGAGATAGAATCTGCAATAACGTTTTTGAGGACAACAGTGGAGGCTACTTCTGTATCTGATTTAGAAATAGACACCAGAGTTCATCCCTCCTGAGTCAATGGGTGTTTTGAATGCCTTTTTAGAGCACTCTAAGATATATAAATGACACAGTCTCAACCATTTGGTAGATTCAGCATCTCTCCTGAACTAATCCGTGATACTAGACAGAAAGCATGTTGGTAAGCTTCACGAGATGGACGGCCTCCTTCTTGGGGATCATGCATTCCCACCAGGAAACATGAGACTTCCAATGACTTCTCACAAGGGAGTCCCTGGTCCCCACTCCACTGATGAGTATCTACTTCCCACCCATTCATTCCCATCACAGCATTCTCAAGAAAGGAGTCCCTAGTCCCCACTCTGTTGATGAGCATCTACTTCCCACCCATTGATTCCCATCACAGCAGCCATGTGACATCTTTGCCTAGTGAGACCTAATGGATGTGCCCTGTGCCACCTGCCAGCAGAAGACTTGAAGCCCTTGCCTTCTATCACCATGTAAGTGGTCCTTCTGACCTGGGGGCTGGTCCTTCATGAGAGTGGTCCTGATGACATGGGGGCTGCTCCTTCATGAGACTGGTCCTGCTGACCTGGGGGATGGTCCTTCATGAGATTGGTCCTGCTGACCTGGGGGCTGGTCCTTCACGACGGTGGTCCTGCTGACCTGAGGGCTGGTCCTTCATGAGAGTGGTCCTGCCGACCTGGGGGCTGGTCCTTCAGCCAGGCCCTGATCAGAGAATTCAAGGCATAGAGCTGAAGCCAGTCCTTAGCATCAAGGACCAAGAGTGACAAATTAACACTCCTTATGAGCTACTGAGATTGTGAGCCTGATTGCTTGAACTAGCTGATGTATCTATGTATCATGGTCACTGAAGGAGGACTCCTCTTACCAGTCACAGATTTAGGGAATAATCATTACTGAAATGTCATCTCCCAAACTCATTCCCTGGCATCTCAATTTACTACACCCCCATGAGAGACTGTGCTTTTTGGGGTCCCATAGGCCCCATGGAACCAGCCACTGAGGATCAAGGAGGGCCATCATGATCTGTCCCAGTGACATAACAGCAACTGATTCCACAAGCAGCATAATTAAATAGTAAAAATGTTCGGTAAAGAATGTAAGTGCTCACTCTTGAGTTTTACTCCTTTCAGCACCTGCAATCCTCTTCATTATTGATATAGGTGTGTATTAGTCCATTTTCATATTGCTATGAAGAGATGCCAAGACTGCGTTATTTATCAAGAAAAAGTGGTTTAATGGACTCACATTCCACAAGGCTGGGAGGCCTCAGAGTCATGGCGGAAGGTGAAGGAGGAGCAAAGGCAGGTCTTACATGGCGGCAGGCAAGAAAGCATGTGCAGGGGAACTGCCCTTTATAAATCTATCAGATCTCATGAGACCTAGTCACTATCATGAGAACAGCACAGGAAAACCCATCCCCATGATTCAAGTACCTCCCATCGGGTCCCTCCCATGACACATTGGGATTATTACAATTCAAGATGAGACTTGGGTGGGGACACAGCTGAATCATATTAAGCAGTGTGTGGTCTGTATTCCTGTGAGCCCATGAAATGCGACCCTCCCTGAGGTGAGTGTCCTGTCCTCTCTGCTCTCTGTCCTGACTGTGGACCAGAGCCTGGTCTGTAGTAGATGTTAATTTCACTGTGTCATCTGACCAGTGTCCTGGCCCCCAGAGGCCCTGGAGATGCCAGCATCAGGAACAGCACTGGGCAGCCTCTGGTGAGTTGCTTTGCTCAGAATAGCAAAGGGGTAGAGCCCATATGCACCCAGGGAATTTTCTGGCACTTTCTTTAATAAATATGGATGCACAGTTTTATGTCTGCCCCTGAAAACAACATTGTTGGTCTAGCTCAACCAACCTGCTCCTCTCACACCTCCATTTCTCAGCCTCCTCCTCATTAGTTCAAGAAGTATAACACTGCTGCCAACATGCAGTGATGATTTGAATTCTACCCTGCACAGGACACAGGACTGAGTTAAAACAACAATAGCAATAGCACAAGCTGTATTTCTGCCTTTCACTCTTCCCAGTGTCCAATTAAGCCTTCACAAAAAGCTCAGTAGCAGTGCAGAATAGAAGAGGAACCCACAATCATGGGGAACTGGGGTGGGGAGAGAACTGACAGCCAAGGAGGCAGCTGGGAGGAAGGATGGGACTTGAGTGCCAGGGAGATGATGTGAGGAAGTTCCATGCATGAGGAACGTATCGAATGAGGACACTGAACTGTCCACAGGAAGGGGATGGGTGAGATAACATGTGGACTGCACCTGCCAGAGAGGCGCCTCCTCCCTGGAGTCGAACACCTGCCCTCACATCTGCTGGCATCCTCAGCTGCCATCCTTGCTAGCCTCTTGCCCTGACCCTGAAGAGCAGCTCCTCCTCTTCTTTAGTCCAGGTCTGTCTCTCCCTCATGATCACTAATCACCCCTTAGTACAGAGGTGAGCTCACAGCCTGGCTGGGCAATCCAGGTTTTCCATGGCCTCGGTCACGGGGACTCTCCATTAGCAATGGTGACTGGAATCCTAACAGAAGTCTGAATTTGCTGCTTAGATACTGGGAGGAAGCAGTGCTCACCCCTGTTTGACCAGAGCCTCTAAAGAGTAGACTTGGGGCTTCTTGCGACCACCTTTCCCAGCTTTTGGAGCATGTCTTTGTGGCAATTAGATCACTATGGATAGGGCAAGGGGCAAAGAGATGGAGAGAGAGTAACACAAATGCAGATACACAAATATAGCAACACAAACACAGACCTATCTAGGGCAATGGGGCAAAAGATGGAGACAGTAACGGAGACACAGACATGCAGAGGTGATCAGGCTCGCCCCTCGACCCCGGCTGGAGCTGTGTTGGGTCACTGCCAACGGAAACAGTTCTGTCTAACGCAGCGGGCTCCACCTGACAAGCTGTGACACTATAAATAACATCTTTGATCCTGAGTTGAAGAAAAAAGCAAATAGAATTAACCTACACAAAATCAGTTTTGTAAGTGACAAATGTTAATAGTTATTACTTAAGATTGATAATTGTTATTAAAAACCAGGCCTTTGTTTTGCAGGGAGAGCAGAAAACTTGTTGGTGAAAAAGCAGGGTGCATAGATTTAGATTTTATTTGGCAAGGAATAAGAATTTTGGAGAGAAATATACAAAATTTGAAAGTCTGTGTGAAGGTTCAGAGGCTCTCTGGAGCGCTGCTGTGGTGGTGAATGAGCTCCAGCAGGAGGTGGTGTGAGCACAGTGAGAACATGAGACAGCTAAAGAAAACATCCATGGTGCGTGTCCTGCTTGCTCTGGGAGCGGCTGGTCTCTGCTTTACAATGACTCCTGCATTTAGTGGCCTGGCACAGCAAACATTCATAACCTCACCCAGCTGAGGGTCAGGGATTTGCAAGGCAGTTAGTGGAGGTTCTGGCTCAGGATCATTTGTGAGGCTGCAGGCGAGCTGCTGGCTGGGGCTGCACCATCTGAAGGCTTGACTGGGGCTAGGGACCCCCTTACAAATTCCTTTGTGGGATATGGGCAGGGGACCTCATTCCCTCCTCATGTGGGTCTCTCCATAGGGCTGCCCCAAGGAAGACTTCCCCTGCAGTGAGTGATGAGAGAGAGGACATGAATGGGAACGCCCCCTCCAACCTAATATCGGGGATGACATATCAGTCCTTCTGCTGCCTGCTTCTGGCAGAAGCTACACAAGGGAGTGAGTTTCTGGAGGCTTCTTCAACTCATGAAGTTTTCAAGTGAAATTGGCTGAGAATAAGATGAAGTCCATGACCAAGGCAAAGCCCGGCATTGGTGGGTTAATGGGAAGCTGATGATGGGCTTAGGGCTTCTCTAGCTGAGGGCTCAGGAGGACATCCTGCTGGATGCTGGCAGCGGGAGCCAGTGTGGATGAGACATTGTTTTCCAGGCAATGCTGACTAAGCATCCACTGAAGAAGGTGCCCGTGCTCTTACGTGGCTTTCAGTATCAGCCGAGAAGCTCAGGAACACAAACCAGGGAAGACGTGTGTTAGAATAATCAAGGTGGAAACACAAATACACCTGAGAGAAGGCTACTCCTTGAATTGTGACATCTGCACATACCCTGAGTGAAAGCAGATTTAGAAAGAGAGTATCAAGGACGTGCATTTTATTTGCTCTTCCTGTCTAGGTGTTTTTAAGGAGTTAGTTTTGTGGTTCCTGTGAACTCACGCAATCAATTAACATAGGCAAACTAGCATCGCTTTGATGAAGACACACAGTGCACACTCTTCTAGTCCAGGCCCTGTTCTTCTGTATTTAGAAATTTCCTTCCTCCCTCTATTTCTCTAGCCTTTCTCTGTTTTTCTTTTTATGAAAAGTACTGGGCATATTCATATGCACATTCGGAACCATACACCGGTGCATAGCACCTGCAGGGAAGTATTTTACAATCGAGCTAATATATAATTGAAGACTTTTCTTCTTTTTTATTTTTCAATTAATGCCAGCATCAGTTCCTTTTAAATTAATGGATACAATGGGAAAAAATAGGACCTCATAAGAGGTAAGAATGTAACAAAAGTCAAAGGCAAGCAAGGTTCATGCAATTGATCATTCAATTTCTTTCTTTTTTTTTTTTTGAGACAGAGTTTCATTCCTGTTGCCCAGGCTGGAGTGCAGTGGTGCGATCTCAGCTCACCACAATCTCTGCCTCCTGGGTTCAAGCTATTCTCCTGGCTCAGCTGCCTGAGTAGCTGGGATTATAGGCATGTATCACCATGCCCAGCTATTTTTTTTTGTATTTTTAGTAGAGACAGGGTTTCTCCATGTTGGTCAGGCTGGTCTTGAACTCCCGATCTCAGATGACCTGCCTTCCTCGGCCTCCCACAAGTGCTGGGATTACAGGCGTAAGCCATCGTGCCCGGCCAATCATCCAATATTTTTATTTTCAATATTTCAGAGAGCTATTTTTATGTCTAATGAACACTGTTTATGTCCAGTGCGCATTACCCATAAATGTCCAATGCACATTCATCATTCTTTTGGTCTTATTTATTTAAAAAATGTTGAACTCCTTCCTTTTCATTCTAGATTTTTTTTTGAGGGGGCAAGATAATAGAATTTTTCCATTGTCTTACAGAGGTGTAAGGAGTTGGTTTCTTTTTCCTGCCCCCTGATTCCTGCAGCCCTGCTATAATCAGGCAGCCCGCAGTAAATGGAGCCCGCACTCCAAATGAGGTCTCACACAGAGCAGGAGTGATTTTCACTGGCTAATTTGAGATACCTCCATTTATCCTTGACAGGAAGGCATTTTGTCCTGTCTATTCAA